AAAAAAAAAAGGTTGAGAATTTAGAGGGTTAATATGTTGTGGGGTTGTTAACCAATGTCATAAAACAACATGTGTACTACTGTTTTATGAGAAACTATTTGTTCTGTAAGCCTTCACCTGAAGTACAATAAAATAAAATTAAAAAAAGCTTTATCACTTGACAAAATTAATCACTTCCTTGAGTTTCAGTTTATTCATCTATATATAAAATGAGAAACACTGACACCAACCTCACTAAGTTGTAGTAAAGTTTAAATTTAATAGAAAAGAATGTGCAAAACTCCTAAGATAGTGCTCAGTAGCTGTTTCTTCTCTTCTGTCATTGAGAGATAACATAGAGTTCATGAATGAGGTCATGAGGAAATAGTGCCACAGTTTCACTGAAATTATGGCTAGCCTGTCATCTATAAAAACTATGTAAGTGGCCAGCCACACCCACAAACAGAAACTAAAGCTCTAAAGAGTACTTTCCAAAAGAAATCACTGAAAAAAGATGCAATTCTTTGTGGCAGCTCAAACACTTTAGCACTGAGGGAATACCTTAAGCAAATGTATAAAATATTTGAGCACACACCAGAGGTATAATATGTGCACTGGGGAATAGGAAAGACCACTCTCTCCCTTACCCTCAATTTCCCCCCGGAGACTGGAACTTCATCTCTCAAAAGGTCAGTTTAGGGTAGTAGTTAGCCGTACCAGTTATGGAGTCAGATGGACCTAGGTCCAAACCCTGGCTCTTCCACTCACAAGTTGACTGACTTTGGGAAAGTTGCTTAACTTCTCTAATCATCTGTTACCTCTTGGGAATAATGATACAAACTTATGAAAATACCTACTTCAAGAGGTGGTATAGAATTAAATGAAATACACATATAAAGTTCTTGGCACATAATAAGTGATCAGTAAGGAATCTATTACAGCTCAAGAAGAAGAAGAGGAAGGGATATGGGAAGGTTTATTGCCTGAATGACATTTGGAACCTAGAGTCCTAGGGATTTCAGGCAATGTAAAAGCAGACCAGGGAGCATCTTCTTGGGCTGAAGTGAGTCAGCTTCCCCTTGGTTTATCCTGTGCCATTGGACATTTCCCCATTCCCTCAAAATTCCCTGCCCAGCCAGGAGTCTTAGACAGTCAAAGCAACACCCGGGGGTTCAGAGGGATGGCAGGCTCAGCCTACCTCCAAGCCCACCCCTTAGGTAGCCCTGGGCTTTAGGTCAGTGTTTGGAAAGCCCCTAAGACCTGCTGATCAATGCCAACAACAAAACAGTTTACTTCAGGGAACCCCTCAAGAAATTTCTTCATTAGGAACTGAAAGTCCCCTGGCAAAGCTCGGGGCCACACCTGGTATCAGTACCTAAAGAGCACTTGATGAATGCCATACTTTAGTTCTCCCTGTCAGCTTTCTCCCATCAGTGTGTCTAGGTATATTGTTCTATCTATGCTTTTTTATGTTTCTGCCCTGGTTTATGTTACAATTCCCAGCTCCCTGCTTTTCAAATATGTTCTATGTTGTTCGACTTTAAAAGACCAGCATGAAAGAAAATTTAATGTATTAAATTAATCCCAGATTAGTGAGTATCAGATCTGAACATCTAAAACAAAAAATACTAATGTATCAGAGATTATTTGTTCTCAATACCTTTACACGGATGGATACAGTTATCCGTTAAGCTGTTAATCAAATAAACTTTAAATCTTATTTATATAAAATATTTATGAATTATTATTGAGGTATTCCCCACCCCAAGGGTAATAGAATTTACCAACATAGTAAAGTATTATTTTTTAAAAATCTAAGTAAGGGAACCAGTTGCTTAAAAATCTCAGTTGGTTAATGGTCAAAGTATGCTTTAGACCTACAAAGTAATACAATCGGAAGCATTAAAAAAAAGACACTACTTTCATAGTTTTATGCAGAAGTAAAATTCTGTGTTATAGTCTTGAGATCATGATTTTTATAAATTAACTATGATAACCTTATGCAATTTAGTATATAGAGAAATTAGGTCCAACATTTACTACTCAAGGTATCACAGACTCTTGCTAACTCGAGTCTTAATAACACATGTAATTTGTTACTACCTTCAGGAAAAATGACCTTAGAGAAATTACAGAGAACACCGTAATATCAATACATTTATAGAAATGGTGTTGCTTCCGATTAATCTCACCTTATTTGCATTGATTCCATGTTAACATCCTTACACATAATACATTAGAATATCTTTAAAAGCATTGCAGGGATTCCCTGCAAAATAATTCATTTACTTACCATCCTTTAATTTTTTTTCGAAGATGACGTTTTTTGTATAAGAGAACTTTTACCGGAACCCAAATCAATAGAGTCACTGAAGCCACGTAGGCAATAGAACAGGAAACAATAAGCCAGTAATGCGTTTTCTCAGCTACATTCCTTGTCCTTTGATAGGCGGAGGCAAACTGCTCCATAATCACAAGTGTGGGAAGGGAGAAAGCAACAAACTCGAGAAGCTCAAAAAACACAAGCTTAATTAGTCTTCCAGAAGCCATCCCTCGCAAGTGCATGTTGCTGAGGATAAAAATGCTCCCTCTTTGATTGTGAGCAACATATGGACACAAAGATATTGAACTAGGATCAAGTTCCTCGTACTCGAATCACCAACCAGTGACTTTTTATTCTTTTATTGACCCTCATATGGTTCAATGATCTTCTAACCTAACAACCATGGTCTCTTAAAGAAACAGAGCAATTGTAAAAGTGATTACTTAATGTATTTGCACATCCATTATTAGAAGTCAACTGAGCTTGATAGCACACTTTCGAGCATCGGTATAAACAAATGTTTTAAATACAGTGTTTATTGCTGATTTTCGCACAATGAACATATATGTATACTCAACACTTGTTAAGCAGAACCATTGGGATAATGTAATTTTAGAGTTAAAAGGGAAGAATAGATGTAGTCAAATTCCCTATTTTAATAGCTAAGCAAACTCAGGCAAAGAGAAATTCCCAAAACCTGGGTATTCATCTTGGAAAACTGCCCTTCTTTTGTTTTCAAAGTGCTTTCAAAAGGAGTTTAGATTCAGTGTGACAACTTCTTAGCCAGAATTCTTCCTGATACTTAAAACACTCATTAGTTATTGCACACTTACTGCCGTTTAACCCAGATTAACAATATTTTTATTTTACTAGTCAGGAAACTAACATGGTTATATTAAAAACCTGTTACTGCATCAACACATTAAGAGCTCTCTATATCTAGTCCAAAAGCATATCAAATATTTAAAAGACAACAATTGTCTCCATGAATATCTTTCCTTCAAAAAATATTTTTGAGCACTTTACTAGGTGTTGGGGTGTGAAGATGAATGCATGACAAAAAGTCTCTTCCCATGAAAATACTCACAGTCCAAGGGAGGAAGCAAACCAATGTAAAACTAAAAGTAACTAAGGTCAGAGATATAAACTAAATGCTATGACAACACAGTGGAGAACTTCACCTTTGGACTATGGGGAGGGAAGGGAAAGATAAGGACATTTAGGACAGATGGGGATGTTGGGGCGTCAGGGACATTTCAGGTAGAAAAAAGAGCACACTCCAAAGCAAGGAGGCTAGAGTGGTCAACGAGAGCTGAGAGAAGACAGTCTGGTGTGTCACAGCAGGAAATAGGGAAAAAGTGATGTTAGAGAAATAGGGTGGGATCAGAATGTATGGGTCAATTAAGGAATTGGTACTTGTGTTTGTGGATATGTGAGTATGTGGGGGTGGGAGGAGGTGGGGAGGTGGTATGTCCTTTCTGTACTTAGGAGTCACATGATCATTTGGAAAAAACACCGCTGGTGTGGAGGAAGGACAGGAGAGTCACTAACCTGGGGGCAAAGAAGCCTACTGGAAGCCACAGAGGAGCCTGGGTAAGACTTCATGAGAGAGCCTTAGCTAAAACAAATGCAGCAGGGCTGAGAAGGAGGGGGCTGAATCAACAGACATTGACTCTAATCCCTTCTACAGTGGTATCACTAGGGGGTGCAGGGGGTATAGGTGACACTGTCAGGGGGTGACACCAAAATGACTGTGTATAAAACTTCTGTGCAATGCTTTAGCAGAAATCTATTATTTTTTATAAAAATATCCCTATAGTTAGTTACAACAACAAAATCATTTTTCATAAGCTCAGCTTACATGTATCAATATACCTACAAGGTTAAAACTATGCTAACTTACTTTTTGAACCTTCTAACGTGCTCCAGTCAGAGCCGTCATTGCTACCTGTCTTAGTCATCTAGTGCTACTCTAACAGGAATACCATGAGTGGGTGGCTTTCACAAAGAGAAATTTATTTTCTCACAGTCTAGTAGGCTAGAAGTCCAAATTCAGGGTGTCAGCTCCAGGGGAAGGCTTTCTCTCTCTGTCAGCTCTGGAGGAAGTCCTCGTCATCATCAGTCTTCCCCCGGACTAGGAGCTTCTCTGCGCAGGAACCTCAGGTCCAAAGGACACGTTCTGCTCCCGGTGCTTCTTTCTTGGTGGTATGAGGCCCCCAATTCTCTGCTTGCTTCCCTTTCCTTTTATCTCTTGTAAGGTAAAAGGTGGTGCAGGCCACCTCCTAGGGAAACTCCCTTTACATTGGGTTAGGGATGTGACCTGGGTAAGGGTGGTGTTACAATCTCACCCTCATCCTCTTTAGCATAAAATTACAATCACAAAATGGAGACCAACCACACAATTCTGGGAATCATGGCCCAGCCAAATTGATACACACATTTTTGGGGGGGGACATAATTCAAACCATGACACTACCCAATTACAATGACACTTCTAAGCCTGTGGTTTTGTCTGCAGGCACTACAATCACACACTGTTGTTTTCGTTGCTGCCGTTGTTTTTATAGTCACTGATTTTGTCAAAGTTTCTGATGTTTTAACTACAATATTGTGGTAATTAGTATTTGTGAACTTATATCAATAAGTTTTTTGAGAATGAAACAGTAACTAAAGCAAAAGAAGGAGAAAAAATAAAAAACATTATTACCAAAAACATTACTAAGGATTCCTTATGGTCTGGTATAGGAGGCGGTTTAAGGGCAGGGTGACACCATGAGTTACTGCACTGGGCGACACCAACCCTAGTGACACCACTGCCCTTCTATATGCTTGCTCCCTTAGCTGGCTTGCCCTGTGCCTGCTGTCACCTATAATTTTCCTCTGGTTCTTAATCTCCCTTCACCTGTATCTTCAAACACCAAGAGTGTTACCATTGATGTGATGCCACTTGCAGTTCTCTACCACATAAAATACTCTGATAACTAGCTGTGCTTTCTTTGAGAGGAGTCCCTGGGTGGTGTAAATAGTTAAGATGCTTGCTGCTAACCTCTATGTTGGTGGTTCGAGTCCACTAAGAGGCACCTTAAAAGAAAGGTCTGATGATCTACTTCTGAAAAATCAGTCACTGATAACTCTACGGAGCACAGTTCTACTCTGACAAGCATGGAGCCGCTATGATTTTGAATCGACTCAATGGCAACCGGCTTAGCTTTCTTTGAGAAGGAATTGTAATTCCTGCCCTCTGCCCACAGCAAGCCCAACTCTGTGGAAAGAAATGATTGGCTGTATTAATGTTGTTCATTGAACATTTATTGTATGCAGATAATGGCTAGGGACATGACACTAATGCACAGATAAAACCTAAGAACATTTATAGTGTGTGCTGGCCAGGGCTGCCCTGCTTACACTCCTCCATCCCTCCTTCTGCAGCCACATCTTCCTGACAAATAGGAACTGGGCCATCAACCATCCAGCATCTAAGTATGGCCTGGCATAAACTGGGTCAATCAGATTCTCTCCCTTGGGAATTTGAATGAAGAAACATTGGGAGAATTTGATAAGTGGAGCTAATGGGTGCGATGATTTTGAGTCAGGGTTACAGGAAGCCCAAACTGTATGTTATAGAACTACACCTGGCAGGTTGTCAACACTTGGTAAATATCTGTTGAATGAACTAATGAACAAATGGAAGCCAGACAGTGAGGGAAGAGAGAAGTTAATAGCAAATGAGGAAGCTGATCCTGAGAGTGAGAAGACTGGACAGATAAACAGCGAGGCACAAGCTACCAGTCTCTAAAGGTGCCTCCATTGTTGAACTTTCCAGTTCATGGGTATCTTTACAAAACTGGATCTTTGTTCTTTGCAACAAAGAGGGTTTGAATATAAGACAAAGGAATAGGTTTATGAACAAGGCCACATATTATACAGAAATAACAAGCAAAAAAACTGAGATTATTCTGAGGAGAGGATTGGTGAAAATCAAAGTACAGTTAATCAGAGAAGGATTCTCAGAGGGGTCAGCTTTGGACTGTATTAGTTTTTTAGTTGATTCCAAGCAACATCTATATATATTACTACAGCAATCTCCTCTGTATAGTATAAAAACATTTGCTTTGAAAAGCAGTTGTAAGAATATTCATGATGTAGTGAGTTGGGGAAGAGAATGGAGAAGAGAAGTAAGTAAGATGGTACATATAACAGTATGAATGGTATGATCCCATTCGTATCATGGTGTTGCTGTTGGGTGCCATCAAGTCAATTTTTGATTCATAGCTATCCCATGTAGAACTGCCCCATAGAGTTTTCTAGGTTGTAATTTCTATGGGAGCAGATCACCAGGTCTGTCTCCCGTGGAGCCACTGGGTGGGTTCAAACCTCCAGCCTTTCAGTTAGCAGCCAAGTACTTAACAGTTGCACCACCAGGGCTCCTTAAAATATTGTAGTTGTAGATATATATGTAAATTTTAAAATCCAGAAAGACATTCACCAAATTGTTAACAGTGTTGTCCCTGGGAAATGAGTGAGGTGGACTGGGGGGAGTTTTTCACTTTTACTTTATAAATATTTGCGTAGTTTAAATATTTCACAAACATTAAAATTAGAAAACAATTTTAGACTAATAAAAAGCAATTTTAAAAGTAATTAAAATTTAATAAAAAATATTGTGTTCTATATTTTAAATTTTTTTCCTTTTGTGATTGACTTTTTTTTTTCTGAATTTTATTGCGTTTTAAGTGAAAGTTTACAGTGCAAATCAGTTTTTCATTCAAAAATTTATACACAAATTGTTTTGTGACATTGGTTGTGATTCCTGCAACATGTCAGCATTCTCCCCCTTTCCGTTTCTACCCTTGGTTCTCCGTGTCCATTCATCCAGTTTTCCTGTCCCTTCCTGCCTTCTTGTCTTTGCTTTTAGGCAAGTGTTGCCTATTGGGTCTCATTTACTTGATTGAACGAAGAAGCACATTTCACACATGTGTTAGTGTTTGTCTTATAGGCTTGTCTAGTCTTTGGCTGAAAGGTGGACTTAAGAAGTGGCTTCAGTTCTGAGTTAGTAGGGTGTCCGGGGACCATAGTCTAGGAGGTTCCTCCAGTCACCCACCGTCAGACAAGTAAGTCTGCTCTTGTTTGTGTGAATTTGAATGTTGTACATTTTTTCTTCTGCTCTTTCCAGGACCCTCAACCACAATCCCTGTCAAAGCTGTCAGTGGTGGTAGCGGGGCACCAT